GCGTGCTGGAATTGAGCTGCACAATGACACGCTATGGTCGTATGCCGCATGCGTAGATGACGACTTCCGCCGCTTTAATTATTCGCTGGTTTTATTTTCACTCATTTCGCCGATAGCTAAATCCGGTAAATTAAAACCCAATCAATCAATTAATCAATTTTATCAAGATAATTATTGTTTCCTTCACAAAACAGTGCATTTAAAACCTAGTGAATATCCCCGCAATCTCAAATCCATCAAAATTACACCCAGTGAATGATTTCCTCTCTACTGTAATTATGCAAATTCACGCAAATCCTGACCATGTGACTATCGAACATTCCGACCGTACACGTACTCCGTACACCGATGGCGTACCTATATTTTGTAGCTGCATATCGCGTCTGGTAGTGTCGAAAGAAATACAAGCAAACTATAACAGTTCGTGCCAAGCGTAAACTATAAGAAGAAAGACCCAAATCGGCCGATTCGTCTCCCTTCAACGATTTCAAGGAATAGTTATCATGACTCAATAGTTTCCACGGAGACCGTATAAACACACCATGTCGCAACAATTTCGTTTTATTCTCACGGTAATGGGTGACGTTTGACCTCCCTGACAGAAGTATTTCTCGGCCTAATCGAGTGGTGCGTTTGGTTGCGAGGAGAAAAGCACACATGCGCGAACAGGGTTACCCACGAGAACACGAACACGTCGCCATGACAATAAACAATAACAATACGAGATTATTTATTAATATTTGAATTGGTTACCCTCATAAATGAATGCATATGATGTGTTGTCAATGGGATGACGAAAAACTGTCAACCCATGACTTCCGGTTATACAATAAAAATATTTGAAACAATTCTCGTCAGAAGTACATCTATATTGAATCTTCAGGGATTACATTTCATATACGGTTATTTGTTAGATTCGCCCAGAATCGCATTACGATAAACTAAAACCTTCGTGGCAGTGCAACCAATCACTGCGTCAACTCGAGCGTATTAATATCGACCGACATTGTTTTGGATTCGACGTACTAGCTGTTGTCGATAAGAAAAACATATAGTATAGCGAATGGATTACACATTGTCACGGGCCCGATCCTTACAGTTCCGTTACGAAAGGTGATTAGTCAGGGGCGTATAGGGTTTAATGAGGTCGTGTCCGCGAATGGTGAAACTGTAATTTCACTCATTTCACTCCCTGAGAAGAATATAACGAATGGCAGCCTTATTCCTGTAATTTGGCGCCCGAGAATTCAGTATAACCGTGAAAAAACTAATCTGTACTTACACGGGGACATACACAATTATATCGCACTTCGCATTACGTCACTAATTAGGGATAGCTGAAAGGGAAATGTATGCCATAGAATCATAAATTACGTCATACAACACGTAACTTTGTTTATAGAATATAGAAATAGTGTCAATTGAGTTGAAAGTTACTAATTAAA